AGGTCAAAGACATTTTTATAATAACAAAACATAACTCTGGTTTATATGTCTTATAAACCCTTTCTTAGTATTTTGATATTTTTTCAAGACTATTCTAATAATTAGTTCATTTGTCAAGTCTATTCTAGTAATTATACGTTTTTTTTCTAATATGAAAAAAGTCTATACCTAAAACGATTAGTTCAACCCATGAATAGAAAACAAAATTTATCCGGAATTCAAACTATGTTTAGAAAAAATGACTCGTTTGATAAAATATGTATTGGTCCCCAATACTAGAAATCGTAAAGGCCATAATTATACGACCCAAATTTCAATTCTTAATCTTTATCAAAGGATTAAGTTAATAAATTCTTTGCTTATACGTGGTTGCTTCACTTTATACATATGTTATCGGCTTGACCGTAGAGAGAGACAAAATAATAGTATTACACAACATAATTTGTATCAAACTTGACGGACACAAAATTCAGTGGTTTCAATAAGATCACGGTCAATTTTCTCGCATGCATTATAATTTAAGAAATGACGATTACACTATCATAGCATGTAAATGAACGTAAGTGTTTGGGCTACAAGTAAAACCACATTGCCTTCCATCTATCCATAGGATTTGCTAAAGGCATATATAGTTTTTTGTAATAAACAACTTCAGCTAGCTGCATTATTACTAACTAGACTACAAGATTAAAATAACTTTTTATGGACTGGTTATATATATAAGAGTTAGGGAGAAAAGGAGGGGACCAGACTACTCTTATAACTTAACATAGTCGAACATGAGGGATCAAATTGGTTTTTTCGATTTGAAGTACGCTTAGATGATATAATTTGGTCTAATAAATAAAGACATATATAAAACAATTTAATTGAAACATAAAGTGGGTTACTTAATTTGTCCATAATATTATAGCATATCCAAAAATTCCATGAACGTAATGCATAAGAAGGGGAAAACAAACTATATCCCTGAATTTAATAATAACAAAGTCTCACATAATAATTCCATTGTTGTATAGAAGAGTGACAACATTATGTTGGACAAGTTGTGCATGTGCAAGACCCCGGAATTAGTATTATTTCTTTTGATGGTGATGAATTTATCTAGAAAATATATTGTTAATATCAAAGAGACCTTCTTTTTGTCTTCGATTATGGTTTTATTTATTCTTGAGTGTCTAGTTATTCAAAGAAAAGAATCAAATAAAATGTTCTAAAATTTCAAATGAAAAAATGTTGTAAAATAAGATTGTACATTAAACGTTTTTAACCAGCGTAATCGAAAATAAATAAAAGTTGACAATTATGGTTTGAAAGTCTATAATTAACAGAGCAAAAAAATGAATTTTAGATAAATATTACAGTGACAAATGTATTGTATATACATATTACATATGATCAAAATTGGTTTTTGACTTCGAGTAATAACAAGATTAACCTACTGAAATAAATCATTTGATTCTTACATATTGACATATCAATTGTTAGGACAAAGATAAAGGTCGAAATGATCGTATCCTAAAGCAGTCGAACTCATGGATTCTAGAAAACTCATGTGGGTCATATAACAGAAAGATTTTTTTATTTTATAATTAAGCAGTATCATTAAAAAGCATAGTAATTAGTAACTACTATCATCTTCCCACTGGTTAACATAACTTTTTTAAAAATCATCATAGTTCATGTAATGTAAGTTGGCATATGAAAAATATATATATCAACAACTTTCATGTGGTTGGTCGTGGACTAACAAATTGGTTCGGAAAAATTAGGACAAAAACAAAGAAGATAATTATTATGGATTTTGGAAAACAATGGGCATGAGACATGAAAGCATCGCATAGCGCATTATGCGTTTATGCATGTATATAAGTATACAACCCATGATGAACTTGTTTAACTATAGTTTCATTATTCCTATAAATAATATTATAATTATCATATCATTGTCCCAATGTAGCAAAAAAAATCATTAACATGGCATGTTACTGTTTCATCATTATTCTTTTTTTTTTGTCGCCATTATTAGTCTTATAAACATATACAATATATATCATTTTTGATGTCTCAACGAGACACAAAAACGACATTATATAGTTTTATTTTTTAATTGAGGTCAATAAATTATAGACTCTGATTATTTGGTCGTTGCAGAGTATGTTATTTGATCTTGAA